TGCTTGGGGATTATCTTTGTTCAGACTGCTCCAAAGAGTAGAGCCAAAAGCCAGCTCAGGCCATGGGAGCAGGCAATCACATAACCACATGAACAAGTATTGGTTTCCAGTGTAGTTTGTTTGCTTTCCAAGCTTGTTCTTCTCTTTTTCCCCTCAACTCTGAAACATTCCTCTCTGAGGCATGGTAGTTCTTGGAGATCAAGAGAGTTAAAATAGTTCCCAGAGAGGCAGTAATTTTGGGAAGCTGACATCTCTTCCATCAGCATGTTGTCTGACTGGTATCCAACCATTAGCTCCTGACAGAGATGGAACCAGGCAGGAAAGCTGAGCTTTCAGGGCTGTAATGCAGAGCCAGTTCCTACAGAAAACAAGCACTGCCTTCTCCTCCTTTAAGCAGAAGTCTGCTGGAATAGGCAGCTAATAAAATAACATTGTTTTGTTTATGTTTCTCTGTGGTAAGCAGAAGTATATTAGAACTACGCTTGGTGACACAAGGTTATTCTCAATTTTTCCTTGGGAAGTCTGGGACACCTCATGGTTGAAGGTCTTGTGTGAAGCCACACAGAAGGCATGCACCATTCACTACAGGATGGCTGCTGATCTTTTTATGGAGTTGTTCTCTGTGCACTTTTGTCCAGAGATGCCTTTCAAGCACTGTTGTATTCCCAGCCCCTGAGGTTGTATGTTCGGAAACAATAAATCTGTTTTCTGGAATAAAACAAAGTTAAACTGTTAAACAATCTTGTTTCATCGGATACACTATTTGTAATAGAGAAGAAAAAGTGTTAAAAAGCTAATTGGTCTGGTGAAGGTTGCTTCTTTGAGGGCACGACAATGCACTGATTCTGCTTGAGATGTGGCACAGCACATATGATCTCTGCATGACTGTTGCAATTAAATGTAAGACATTCATTTCTCAATGCTTTCCCCTCCCCACCATGCTTAATGTCTATTTGCTGCTGCTTGGTTGTGTAACAACTCTATTAATTAGGAAAAAGTGTCAAAGGACCAGCTAATGAATGAATGAATTAATTAATTAATTAATCCTGAATTGAGAATTTTTTCTTTTTTCATGTTTCCTTTGTTTTAGAAATAGAACAGCTACAGCCTTCTTTAAATGCTCTTGTCAAATATGGGGATGTTTAATGTTGCAGTTTCTTGGAAAATAAGACTCTTCAGCATTTCAAGAAGAGAAAAAATACTCATAGATTGTTTGAGGGAAAAAAGAAAGCACTAGCAGTTGTCACAGTGCCAAAATTAATTATTTTGGATTGATCCGTTTGCCTTGATCTTTATGACCCTCAAGGATTTCAAATACTTCCCTGTCAATCATTTAAATTCCTCAGCTAAACCCTATACCTCATTAAATAAAGAAATAAGGGGGCGTCTTGATATGCTTTTCTTTAGGCCTGTCACTCCAGAGTCTGAAAATACAGATCACGACATCTTAAAGTATTCTCAGTTTTCTTTCCAAATAGCAAAAAAAAAATGTTTCTCTATACAGTTCATCACATTCTCTTCAGTGACACTTTTTGGCTGGAACCACTTAGGACTAACTGCACATGCAAACTTCAGTGGTAAAAAGAGACCCTGAGACACCAAATTTACTGGTGACCACGCTAATGTCACCAAATAAAAAAGGATTGCTGGGTGACAGGCAAAGGGAAGAAAAGGAAGGGTATACTTAGAAGACATATATAGAAAAACTTAAGATGTGTGTGAACATTTTTGGATGTGTATTGACTTCTTAAAGACTGAAGTCTGATGGAAATATTGCAGAGTGGGGAGAGGACTCGAAGTATCATGGGATAGTGTGTATTATATACAGTGCACAGAGGCTGTGCTTTTTCAGTGTTCCAGCTATGCAGATTCATTTCGTATGCATTATCTATTTAATCCCATCATACACCCCTTTTGATACATAAAAGCCAACTCTTGCCCTGATCTGTACTTTCCCATGAAAAATAATTTCTCATCTGAGAGTTCAGCCTACTTTTGTTCCTGCTTCTTTAAGATGGCATAGCTGGTTAGTTTCCCATTTTCAGTTTTTCACCTTTCATCTGCTTTTCCCATTCTCTCGTGATGTGGCAAGAAATACAAACCAGAATCTGGACCTGGAATGGTGCCACAGGGGAAGCTGAAATCAGAAGCAAATCAGAGCCATTTGTAAATCAAACCTGAAAAGTATTTTGCCACAATTTGTGTCTCACATTATTGTGCATTGAGATAACTTAAAGTGGAAAGGCATCAAACACTGAGGTTGTAAAAAGGCTCAGAGTGCTGGCATTGAAATTTAGTCCCCAGAGAGTCCAGATGTCTCAAGTTTCTCTCCTCCTAGCAGGTAAGACCATAGGTAGCGTGGTGGCCCTTGGCTAGATCTGATGAGTTGTCCCTGCCAATAGCCCTGCAGAGCAGCACTTAACTCCTCTGGTGTGTGTCACATCCCGCACCTTCAAGTGGCCCATGGGGCTGTCCCTGCCACATGCACATACAGCTTGTGTGGAAACATGCTACACCAAAGCTACACAATTTGCAAATCTGCTTTCTTGCCGTCCTACTTGCCTCTCAGGCAGCACTTCCCAAGCTCTGGGATAAAAAGTGTCCCCTTGGTGAACGTCAGGGGACATACCTTGCACTGCCACAGCAGCTCCTGACCTCAGCCAGAGCAGCTGATGCCCTTCAGCAGGACCTGCAATCTTGTACCTGTGGTTCTTGCCCTGTGTAAAAACCTGATTGCATGTGGCATCTCCAGTGAAGCTTCCCAGAAAAAACAATGATTATTTCAGTGGAAAGCTGTTGCTCAGTCCTTGAGACTGCTGGTCCCCAGAGTCTAGTTCTGAAAACCAGCAATAAGAAATAGGATTGACTGTTATTTCTATTACCTTTGGGAGAATTTTCTTATGCAATTTTATTTTATTTTATTTTATTCTATTTATATAAATTATTTTTCAAGGTAATATTTTTTCATTTACCCAGAATCTTAACTCCTGTATCACAGATTGCAGCATGCTGTCTGTACATATCATCCATCCATATCTTGTCTTCTTTTTCTTTTATGCCAGCCCTTACATGATTGCACATCATTTTCAGATTTCACACTTCTGAAAGTCCATATGGTTGTCAAAGTCTTTTCTGATGCCACTTGTTTATGGCTTCAAAATAATCAACATAGATTCACACATCTTTTTTTTTTTTTTCTCTGTTCCTTCCCCCAGTCTTTTTTGTACACAACTCCAATCAGATTAATTCACTTTTTTCTCCAAATGATGCTGCCAAAGTTAACACATCAGCAGAGAAGGCCTGGAACAAAAATATGTTCCATCTTGCTATGCTCTTCATTCATGTCAGGCTGCAATCTAGCTGTCACTCCAGAGAGCAGCCAATTTTTCTTTGGGCCATCTACCAAAAATGGCATCATCAGAAAATATTCTGGTGACCTGGCATGTCTGAGAGACAACGAGCCTCCACTGCAGAGAACAGAGCACACCACCATCTGCATCCCTGTGGTGTCACTGAATGACTCCCAGGTATGCTGAAAGCAGAGTTTTGGCCCTTACAGTCTGCTAGAGACAAGGTAAATACCAAATCCTGTGGATTTAGTGAGGAGGTGCTAAAGAGAGGAGTGGGCAGGAAAGAAGAGGAGCCCTGGGTCCTGTCCTGCTTCTTTCTGGACAGAAATGCAAGTGCAGCCTCAGACTTGAGACAGGTCTGAAGTGGGGAGACAAGGCCTGTGTCAGGGAGCTTGTGCAGCTGGCAGAATGGGAGCACATCCAGGCTCATGCTGGCCAAGGAGGAGATAGTGATGTACTGTAAAAGAAAAGGGAAGAGGAAGGCAGGAAGGAAGGCAGGAAGGAAGGAAGGCAGGAAGGAAGGCAGGAAGGAAGGCAGGAAGGCAGGAAGGCCAGGGAAGAAGAGCATATGTGGGGACAGGCAGCATAAATCCAAAAAGAACTCATCTGCATGGACAGTGGTTGGAAAAGCAACCTGCCTGGAGCAAAGATTATCCTGGAAACCTGGAAAACACTGTGCATTTGGGCCCTGCTGGCAACCTGACAGCTTCAGCATCCTTATCCCCCAGGGTTGACGGCTTCCCTCCACATTCCCTATCTCGTCTTAATCTCTCAAAGAGTGGGACATTGCACAGCCCCACATGCCTGAAGCTGGTTCACCATCTGGGGCTAGAAAATTGGAGGAGGGTCACAGATGGTTCCCATCTTTCTGCTCCTCTCCTGCCCTCTGGCTTGTCCCAGCACTACCCTGACCTCATGGCCAGCTCTCTGGCAGCAGCAGACCTGGCAGTAGTTCTATCAGTTGCTGCCTCAGGCAGCCCCAGAAGTCATTTCTTCAAAACTTCTGCAGAGTCTTTACACATGTGGCAGGGTGGCAACCAGCATCCTCACCCATCCTATGGGAAAACCACAGGGCAATCAACTCTTGAAAGAAAGCAAGGCAGCAAAATGTCAGGGAGAGAAACCTGAAGGGCAGAGGCTGCATTTCTGTGGCTTTACATGGCATGACAGGGGAACACTGGCATCTAGTCAAATTCCATAAGCAGGGGCACTGAGTAATTAGTTAAAGCTTTGCTTTCTTGTGACAAATCCACCCCCCCCCAAAAATAGGAAAAAGTGGGACCCATAACCATGTCATGGCAAACCGTGTGAAAAAACCCTCTTCCTCCTAATCACAGCCCAGTTTAAACAAAAATATGTCCATGCGACAGTACATGTGAGCTGCAAAAAATGGCTGTTAATTCATGGAAGCAAGAGGAATTATAAAATCGGTATTATGTGTTGCATTCTTAAGGAGTATCTGTTCCGGGCAGCCCTGTCCCCAGGTTCATTACACCTAAGGAGCAGGAGCTCTCCAGCAGCACTGCTAACCTCACAAGAAGCATTGTCTTGGCAGAGGTTGGGTCATACTTAGCAGATTATCTCCGTACCAGGAGGGCTGCAATTTTCATCAAAGTAAACAGAGGAATTCGTGACAGGCAGCCGGCTTACCGAGCCGTGCTCAGGGGCTCGTTCACAGCGGATGCTCGGCTCCATCCCAAGAGCAGCCCCGTGGGCTGTGGCCGCTTCCTCGCCCTTGGCTCCGGCGCAGGGAAAGCACACGGCGGAGCCCTTCGGGTCACGGAGCCGCTCCCTGGGTGGCGCTGGAAGGCAGGCCAGAGAGGCAGAGCCGCGGGCCGGGAGCGCAGCACGGCCGCCGCCAGCAGCTCGGGCTGAAATACAGAGCAGGGAGGCTGCGAGGGCAGCAGGGCACCGAGCCAGGGCCCGAGGTCCCCGCGGTGCCCCGCCGGGGCTGGCAGCTCGGCGCGCTGTCACCGTGCGCGCTGTCACCGCCGGGTGGCGCTGGGGGCGCGCCCGGGCCGGTGGCTCCCGGCGCACGGCCCCGCCACACGCCGGGAACACGGCACACACAGGGCCCCGCCACACGCCGGGAACACGGCACACACAGGGCCCCGCCACACGCCGGGAACCCGGCACACACAGGGCCCCGCCACACGCCGGGAACACGGCACACACAGGGCCCCGCCACACGCCGGGAACACGGCACACACAGGGCCCCGCCACACGCCGGGAACACGGCACACACAGGGCCCCGCCACACGCCGGGAACACGGCACACGGACGGACATGACACACGGACGAACACGCCACACGCAGGCCCCACCACACACACGGACACACCACACGGAGGGACACGCCACACACACGGACACGCCACACGGAGGGACACACCACACACACGGACACGGCGCAGCCCCGCGGGCATTCCTACCCAGCGGCCATCTCTGGCCATATCCCTCGCTTCCCATCGCCGTTTCAGTATGTGCCATCAGGTCGGCGGTTTTCATTTATGACGGGCAGATCGGATTAATGGCCTCCACCGACCAAGCTATCTTTCCATCTTATGCACCATATATTCAGGAGGAAAGGGATCGAAAAGGACATCTGATTGAAACGCCAGCCGTGCTTCAATGCAGGAGGCTGAGGCACAGCAGGGGCAGGATGCACCTGCACAGCTGTGAAGTCCTCTAAGACTCCCCTTCTGTGGCCAAATTGAAGCAACACTGTCTATCTGTAAATTAAAAAAAAAAAAAAAAAAAAAAAGCAGCAAAGAGCAGCAGTTTGAATATTGTTCTTGAGCTCCAAGGCCAGCCCAGCGCTGTTTGAGTTGTGTCCACACGCTTCAGAGATGCCCCACAGGTCACCAGACACAACACACTGCAGCTGGCCTGGCTTCCCTCCCGGACTGCTGCAGGATCTGTGCCGCTCTCGGACACAGCCAGCCCACAGTGCTGAAGTGAGGCCTTGCATTGCAGCTCAGCTGAGAGGTGTTTTTGACAGCATGACCCTGAGAGGCTGGGTTGGTGTGGGATGTCCAAGGGAACGTGGGATGACAGGAAAATGCAAAAAGCCTGGTGGGAGAGCATTGGAGACAGAGAGGCCAAAGCTTCATGTAGCCTCTTCTGTAGTGGGAACAGTCCTAGAGGTGAAGGGCACCACCAGGAAGTGTCTTGGTGAAAGCTGCTTGAAGTGGTCCAAAACAGAGACAACAAGCAATCAAACAATCCAGTGTCTGAACCTGCTTCACTGTCCCACTTCCATTTACTGCTGAAGACATATTCTGCCAGAGGATTTATACCCTGGGAGGCTGCAAGGCTTTCCAAAGCAAGCAGTTGGGTTCCTCCACAGCTGTCTCACAACCCGTTGGTTCCTGAGCTCAGGGGGACACAATCTTCCCCAGCTACTGAGGCAACATGGCCCAGAAGCCTGCATTGACTTCTAGAACAGAAAGTGCTCGATGAAAGTTGTCTGGGTGAAGGCTGCAAATAAATGTGACTTTCTTCTCATGCAGGGAATGAATTCAGTGCTGCTTACTGCCCTGAGCTGCTGTGGACACCCGAGGAATTAAGAGAGATTCAACAAATTGAGGGAGGATAAATCCATTGGTAGTGCAGTGTAGCAGTTGGTCACACAGTGATCTGAGCAGTTTTTGGCTCAGGAAGTCTGGACTCTGTGTAAATTTAGCAATTTGCACTATGCTGAATCCTGGAAGCTGGGAAAGAATGCCACAGGGAAGATTGCTCTGTACTGAAATGACACTTGAGCTCAGATGAGAAACAAGTCATTATCCAAACAGAGGATTCTGAGGATTCTTTTTTTTGGGAAGAGTCAACATGGTTTTATAAAAGGAAATCTCATCTTTTAAATCTGTTTGGGGCTTCAGAAGGCATCAACAAATAGGTGTAGAGCTAAGAACAGTTTTCCAAAGCCCTTCATCAAAGCCTTTGCAAGAAATCCTGGTGTGATGGTTTAAGAGGTAAGGTTATGTGAATAAAGGGCTGATTAAAAGGCAGGAAACAAACGGTAGAAATAAATAGCCAGCTCTGACAGTGGAAGGAGGTTGGCAGTGGAGTCATGCAGGCATTTGTACTCAAGCTTACATTGCTCAGTGTGACTTAAACCTGGAAAAATGGGGGCTTTGTGAGATGGGAGTTTGCTGAGGTTATTAAGCATCCAACACAGTAAAGATGATGAACACCTGGGGAAGCTACAGAAAAATCTCACAATAGACAGCAATTGGACAATAAAAAGGCAGATGAAATTCAACGTAGCTACTTCTAAAATTAATTACATTTTAAAAGTCTCTGATTTTGCATACATGAGAGTAGGGTCTCAACTGACTTTCTGCTTGGGAATTGGACTTTAGGGCTATGTAAATATCTATGAAAAGGGTACCTCAGTGATCACCTGCAGCCAAAGCAGCAAGTTCTATTACTAGGAGAGAAACAGAGAATAAAATGGAAAACACCTTCAAGCTGTTCTGTACATTAGTACAGTGCATCTAAATCTCCAAAAACGACATGTATTTATAGACCCTCTAGTTCAAAAAGCACACAGCACAGCAAGGTAACAGGGGGTAACAAGAATGAACAAAAGCATGGAATGGTTTTCCTATGAAGAATACATTACTGCGTTAAGACTTTTCAGCTTGACAGGAGAAACAACAACCTGATTTCTTGCAGTAGTTAACACACTGTTTGAAAGTGCTTCTTAAGCCCTTTGTGAGGTGGGACTGTCTTCCCAACACCTGGGCAACTCCATTCTGTTGGGCAGATGGGATGACCAGTGCCAAAGCTCAGGCTGCTGAACCTGAAGTCACTCCTGGAAGACCTCAGGACTCTCAGGATGTAAAACCAGATGATTCAGAGATATGATGAGGCAGTTGGGTCCAGAGCTCTCACGGCTGGATGCAGGTTCTTTATGGAAGGGTGGAAGACGGCAATAATGTTTGTACTCTGAGCAACGGAGTGGCACAAATTTGTGCATGTTTGTGAGGGAGCAGAAGGTGAGAAACTCAGGAGCTCATGGGTCAGGAGAAGCTAACTAAAGGGATGTTGTTGTGGGTATCTCCCACAGCCCAATCAATCAAGAAGGAAAGACAGATAGAACCTTCTTTAAACAACTCAGGAGTTACTCAGGACAGACTAGAAAAATTCCTGTCTCTTGTAACTGGAAAGATCTGCCAATTGGAATAAACTCTTCAGTGCCTTCAGTCACAAGGTCATCACTCACAAGATGTTCTGTTAGGCCTGCCGTGTGTCTGTATCTAGCAAAGTTTTGAGGAGAAAATTACTAATCACACTAGAAGAGTGAGTCAGGGATGCAGAAAGCTGCACCTACACAAGTCCACGGGACTGTATGGGCTACCACTGATAGTGCAGCAGAAACTGCCCAGTGGGATGACCATGACTGATACACTGAAGGGCAGGGCTACCACCCACAGAGACCTTCACTGGCTGGAGAAGGGTGCCAGTGAGAACCTTATCAAGTTTAATAAAAACAAATGAATTGTCAGGCTGACAGAAATTCTTCTTCCAGCCAGCTAAGCACTCGTCATCATCCACATCCATACATTTGTGTAGAGTTTTGGGAATGTCAGTACAAGAGTGATATTGACAAACCTGAGAGAGTTCAGAGGGTCGAGTGAGAAGACCATGGCTGCGGGAGCAACTGCAGCCTTCCAGCACCTAAAGCAGGATTTATAGAGAAGACAGAGCGCAGATTTCTCAAAGGTGTTCAGTGAAACAAGAGGGAAAGATCACAATTTTGGACGTTGGAAATTCTCACAGCAGATTAGGAAGCAGTTTTTCACCATTACAGTGGGTAAGGACTGGCACACGTTGCCCAGAGACACCATAAATTGCCACCTTTAAATACTTTCAAATCTGATCAGACAAGGTCCGGAACAACTTGATTTAACTCCAGAGCTTCAGGCTTGAGCAATTTGTGCCTGCTTTCAGCAGATGCTTTGGACTAGATGACCTCCAGGGACCTCTTCCAACTCCTGATGTTTCTACAGCTCTGTAAGTGCCATAAAAATATATATAAATTCCACAATATTAAATCATAAAACCATAAAAACCAAACAAAGCCAAACCTAAAGTGCTTTGCATATACAATGTAACGCTGACATGCAGACGTGTCCCATGGGGGGAATAAAGAAATGCATAGTAGGTAACACCACACACTGATGAAAAGAAGAGGAAAGGATGATTATGAAGACCAATGGAAATCAAACAAACCCGGATGGGATTTAAGCATGAAAGATTACCAATATGTGTCACAGCTCCTATTTTATTATTCAGCTTTACTAGAGAAAATGATCTACAACACTACAGTGAGAATCAAGAGACCCAGTCTGCAGAGGCAAAACTGAGTCCAACAAAAAATATTTTTGCTGCGTTTATTTTGTAATTATCCCACCAACATACAATGCCAAAAGCTGCAGAGCTTGTGGCACTGCAGTCATTTTCAAAGCCTAGATAAAATACTCTGTAAGTCTGCAATACTTCATAGGTGAACACACAGAAGGTTACGTACAACCAACTTGTCATCTCTATTTTATTTCACAGAAGCAGTGCATTCTGAGGTAAAAGGAGAAAAAGTTCAGAAAAAACCTGCAGTTCTCAAAAGACATTGTTGATAATTTAACCATATCAATAAGTAAATGTCATGAAATTTGTGCATATTCAAGTCTCTGAAGAGATAAGCCCCTTCTTAAATAATGGGAAGGGAATTAATGAAGCCTACCTTCAGTGAAACTTACTTCGTAACCTGGCTTTCTTTTTATAGACAGAAAGTTTTCTGTACACTATCACCTCTGATTTTCCTGACACTCAGTGTCAGGAAACTCAGTTTAGGACACTCAGTTTTTTACAAGATTTGGTTACAAGCAACATCCATGTAAACAATTAAAACTTTAATCTCTAGTTAGGTATCAGTAAACAAAACAGAGACAGAACCAATGGGGACAGTACAAATGCAGAGTCTGTGGACACTCTTTTGGATCTCTTCCCATCAGGATTAACGTGGCAAAATCTGGAGCTGAGATGCTTGTGGAACTGCTGGTTAATAACACACATGGACCTCATGACTGACACTTGAGCTGTCCTGTACTTTCCTGTGGATGTCCGTTCCCAGTGCTTCCTGCCACAGCAGGCAACAGACCCCAGATGCGATGGACTCCTTCTAGAGCATGCAGAAAGATGGTTCAGAGCCTCCTCTTCATTAAAAACCCCAATCAGTTTTTGTCAGGAGTTTAGTGTTGGCATGATGCCAAGATCAGACAGCTACATCAGCTCAAACAAGTTTTTTATTTCATGTCCAGATCAAATGTTATCTGTATTATTAAAATATTGTGCAAATACCATGATTATGGACAGATAATGATGAAGCATAAATTTAAACCCATGGATGCTGACTGCTAGGCATCACTGTTTGTATGGTGAAATG